GGACTAAGTATGAGATTGTACCATGTGATTTGCTAAAGGAGTCCATTTGATTTTATTTCCAAGAAAAGGGGCATTGGAGACGAAGCTACCCAAACTACCTGAGAGATCTAAGAGACGGGACAGTCAAGGGATTTGGCTCTACTTCAGGTAAAATCCACTATCTAACTCTTTTAAGTTCCTATTCTAGATTCTAAATACATGACGTGATAAGATTACATTTTGATGTTTTGTAGGATCGAAGAAAAGAAAGGAAACTTAAGGGAAGAAGTGAGCTGAATCTGATCATGAAGAGATGAATTTTGATCGCATTCTTGAAGATTGGGTTCTTGAGCTACTACTTGGAGTTAGAATAGATTGCTTAGGAAATTGAAATAACATAGTTTTCATTTGAATTGCATTGTAAGGACAAGTTTTTTCGCAATAAAATGAATTTCGATTTCGTCTTATTTATTTATCCTTGCAACGACATATGTGAAAATGTATGTTTAGGTATTTCTAATTTTAGCAATGTTGAATTGGATGTGATTCTTGATTTTGTTATTTGTGGAAATATCGAGAATTTACCAAATAGGGAGAGTTTCTCATCGCCCAAGTTTCATTTGGACAGAAACTTGGAATCGTGTAACATGCATTGCGTGATGAATGAGAAACTTCATATTTGGAAATTAGACTAAATCTTTGACAAAGTGTCAAGTGAAGGACTAAGAGATTGAGTACACTAGGTTGTATGTTGATCAAGTCCACCACAAGAGTGATAAAGATATTCGTCATGATTTACTAAATTTAGTAAATATGATTATACTTATAAGAATATTTGTAATTCTGAGTTGATTGAAAGAGGTTGAATGAATAACAGAGAGAATAAAGAAGAATCAAGTAGGCAGAAAGATAAAACTTTCTCCATTCTAAGAAGGGAGAGTATAAGTCTTAATGATTAAGAACCATATCCCAATTTATCCTCTAAGTGAGTCTTAGTGCATTTGTATGTCTAAGAAGAGAAATCGAGAATTGTGGAAATGGTTAAATCAAGAAGTCAATCATACTTCATTCCAATATCAAGTCTTAGAGTTATACACCAAGATTGTGAATTGAGTGACACGTCTTTAGTAGCTTTATAACACTCAACAAATGTGGAATTGGGAAAAGTTTTCTTATTCTTGCACATTTGATATTGGTAAGTTGTGCTGTCTTGGATAAGATAAAGACCAACTGGGACCAGTTATGTGAAGTGTTTTGTCTTGATATGAACTACACTAACTCTTGAATATTTGTTTGTTAAGAAATGTTTCTTGATAAGAGAATCATTTATGTCAAGAGGTCAGTGGGAGTCTCAATTGTCTTGAAAAGTTTCAAAAACAAATCAAGAATAAACCGATAAGTTAATCACTAGCACACGACTTGAGGTTTGCAACCTTTCGTGTTGACGTAATCTTGTTTCTATGCCAATCCAGTTGAGCTAAGTATGTATGTGAGTTCTATGAGTTCTCATTTGTATGCATAAAGGAAAGCACCTTGATCAATAGAAAGTACATTGATAGGTAAGGGTGAGCTGCTTAACAACCTGGAAGCAATGGTGGGCACTCGTGCTACCATGAGGCAGGAAATTGAGATTGAACAAGTTCAGTCCATATGAGATGGATTTGTCACAAACATTGTCTTATGATTGTTGTTATGACAAATTTACATGGATAGGAATGCATACATCATAAAATCTAAGTGTCATAAGGTTTCCCTCCTAATGAAAATGGTTGTGAGGAAATGATTTCACTAAGAGAGATTTTAAGGAGATAGCAGTTGTGTAAATTGTATTCTCAAATTCGATTATGATTACGACATCCCTCTTCATAGTTCGAATTGTGAGATTTGACAATTAGTCTGAATATTTGGGACTTAGTAACATAAGTTATAAATTTGTTTAGACACAAACAAGCTATCTAAGAAAAGGTGTATAAGTTTAAGAAACTTAGATAAAGGATTATCAAAGCATCTAGTATTAGAAATATGAACTTAAGGAATTCAATAAGCATTGTTTTCTGGAAGTTCAGCTGTTTTCTGAATACATGTCAAAGCTAGTGGGAGCATAAGTGTTATGCCAATAAGGAAATAATCATCATGTTAGTGGGAGGATGATTATTATAGTACGTATTGTAAGTTAGCAATATTAATTATAGAAAACAAGAGTTATATTTTGCAAAGTCGCAAGGGTTGAAAAGTTGTTTTGCTATAATTAAGGGAGAGAATATTATACTTCGTTTCTAAATGTAAAGCTTAGATTGAGAAATTTTAATAAATTTAGTCAAAGGATACATAGCGTGTTTTCAAATTTCGATTATGTTTACGGCATCCCTCTTCATAGTTCGAATTGTGAGAACGTGACACATAAAATATTATGGCAGAAGATTGATAAAGTATCATATCTTTATGTAAGACATTATGCATCGTGTCCCATACGCTTAGGGTATAGGATCGATTGAAAATGCTATAATATTTGACCATTCTAAAATTTTCCAAATGCCTAGGGCATTAAGAGGGAAAAAGGACTAGAACTGGATTTGACTAAAATAATTAAACAACTATCAAATGACGATCTAAGGTTCGCCAAGGATTTGTTGCTTGTGAGTAGTTGGAAGTATAGTATTGGATGGACCATATTAACATTATTATGAATAGATAAGATTCTATTTAGAATGAGTTGTCATATGGCAAATATGGAAATGTTTCCATATTGTGAGTTGGAAATTGAGAATTTATGTCTAGATTAGAAAACTTTATGCAAAAGGATGTTCAAAGGAATGTACTTTGAGTGAGAGACATCACATCTATAGAATTGTTTGTAACAATTTCTGATAGAGACCTTGTAATTTCATTAGCCAAGTCCTGGTGACTTTTATGCTATGAATTTGCGAAAGGATCGTTGCATAAAATGTTAGAATCTAACGTATTCTAGTAGTGGCAAGAAGCTTGTGCTCTTACACTAACGATAAGGATTAAGAATTGTGAAATGAGCATCATTGGAAAAGTTTTCAATTGATCTATTTCACAAAGCATGGACCATAGGAAACAAAGTGTACATGCTTGGAGCATGGGACAATTATTGTTGTAATTCAAGTAATAAGTTGATTTTCTGAAACAGTAAGCAATGAATAATGAGTAATCATTCTGGTGTTTAAATAAAAGTGTTTTATTTACGCTCAAAAGTTTTAGAGCCACATAGGATTAAGTATTATCGTTGTGTTTCATTTTGCATGTTTTGACTTCCAAAATAACTAGGTTATTCGAACCTCCACAGTCGGACATACGTTGGAAGTAGGTATGAAGGAAGACTGTCATGAATCTGTCTGTAGATTGTCTAAGTGTTTAGACATAGCACAAGTTTGCTGCAGAGTTCATGAGTGCTTTAATAAGATTAGAGTATTGGATCAAACCCACGCTCACTTGAATCACTTCATGGTTTTATCATGAGTAATTATGAGATGATAACATTGTATATTCTTGAAACCGCGACATGTGAGTTGTTATTTGTTGGTCGGTTGCACATTGATAATAAGAAAATGCACCAGCAACTTGTTGTTATAAAACTTATTGTTGTGTGTGATTCGATCAATAAATGCAAGCGAGCATTTGATCGAAGTTTATCCATTCCTTTTAACCAAAGTGGGATAAAAGCCATATCTGTGGGGCCCTCGATGATTTAGTGATGACACACTAAACGCTTGGCCAAGCCGGGACTAAGTTGATGTGTTCAATTGTAGTCTGTTATCAGTCGTCATAAATAGGAAGCCGGAAAACAGTATAGAGAGAATGATCAAATTAATGTCTTGTGTCTATACGATATCTTGAGAATGGAGGATTATATAATCCCTTATCTAAAGGACATGCGTATCTGTTAAGATCAGAGTTGACAGCGGCTTTTGAAAGCTACGATTGCTGATCAGGTTCTGAAGTAATGCAAAATAGTTATTAGACTTATCCAAGTGGGAGACTGTTGGATTAGTGTCTAAGTCCATAACTATTTTGGTATGTACTTGACCCGATTATGAGCATGGTCCTTTTGGGTTTCCTTCACCATAGCAATATGTAGGATGAATAATATATTAAAGGAGAAATCATAATGTTTAATTGATATTAGTCAAGAATTAATTAAGAATTAATTTTGTGGCTAAAAGAGATTAATTAAACTTAAGGGACTTATTGTGTAATTATAAGATAATTACATAATTGGGCTATGGATCACCTTGGAATAATAGGTTGGACGAATTCTATGGGGAAGCCCATTAGAAATCGTCCAAGGCATGTTCCAGAAGGGGTCCATGGGCTGCTTAGGGCTTAAGCAGTCAGATTAGGGTTTCCTAGCTGTAAACCCTAATAGCCAGTATATATAAGGAACCCTTATGGCCCCAAAAACGTGGTGAACTAATCCTTTAGGGTTTCTAGCCGTTTTTGGTGCCTCCTCTCTCCTCCCTTTTCATCCAAGTTGCTTAGTGGTGTTTGTGACTCCATTAGAGGTGCAATACTTGAGGTACTAAGCTTTCTAAAGCGAAGGATTGATTGTTATTGCTATATAACAATCAAAGGTAATATCTAAACCCTAATTTTAGTTATAGTTTATTAGATGTAGGGTTTATGGCTTTGGATTATCAATTGCATGTTCATTAGACAAACTAGATCCAAAGCTATTAGGATTTGCATGTACACCATAGGATTGATGTATTGCTCGAAACCCATCAAGAACTGTATTTTACCCCTAGTAACTGTCCGTGGAAACCAAATTAACTGAGTAATCCATGATCTTGTGATTGGAGAATCGGATGTTGACAACCAACAACATTAGTTGTAGGGCTATAATGGGAATAAATATAATGTTTGATAATGAAGTATTTGTATTGTACAAATACGACACCGACGATGATGGTGATAATGGAGCATTAACATTGATATTACTATTTTTAAAGATCGATAGTGATGGGTGATGGAATTAATCTGATCTAATTGTATGCTAAATGGTGAAGGTAAACTGAGTGCTTAAGGTATTAACTTTAAAGTTGTGGAATACAAAAAAAAAATAAAATGGATCATAAAAGGGAAAACGGCTTAGGAGGGTAACAATGTGTTGGACTTATTCTCATTTGGTCCCTTATCTTTTTTTTATCCTTATTATATAATTAAACTTATTATTTCTGCTCACCAAAACCCTCACGACCAGTTATCGCCTGTTTTGCCGGTTTCCTTATTTTAAAATGTTTAATTACGGATGACATGTCGTATTATGTGGACTTCGAACACATTTCATCTCTGTTTCTCTTTCACCCCCTTTCTCCTTAAACTTAGGGTTCATAGTGAAATTGAAGACAACAATTCAATCGAAGATTACAATTACGAAATTGAAGAGAACCGATGAATGCGAGTGTTATAGTGAAGAAGATGGCCTCTGATTCCAAACGACGTAAGTATTTGATAGTTTATGTACATTAAAATGGTTTGTTCGCACCAAAACCATTAGTGTACTTAAACTTTGTTGTTGTTTCAATCTGTGATGACGATTATAGTGCAATGGATCTCAAAAAGTTTATTTTGTTCATTGAAAAGTAGATTGAAGGCAGTTGCGATAATGTATATTACTACACTAGAAATGAACCATTGGCAAAGGGTATTAGGAGAGTTGGGAATGATGCTAACTACTTTGAGTTTATTGAAACAAATTATAGTGATGAAAATGTTCTAAGAGTGAATGTGTATATAGACCAAAAAAATGAACATGTACTTGATTGGGCTGAAATGGAAGTAGTAGAAGATGATGAAGGGAATTATCCTGAGCAAGACCTGGATGATGACAACGATTCACAACTTTCTGATGATATTCCATATGAGCATGAAGCAGATGACTACATTCCTTCTCTTGACAAGACTATTGGTGATGAATTTTTGCACCGTGTGTCAGGTATTTGTAAGGATACAAATGATGAGGTTGAAACCAACAATGGAGATGACAAACTTGTGTACTCTATCCATAATGAGAACCAGAAATGGTGCCAATTCTAGGTATGAGATTCTCTACCTCTCTGTAATTGAAAATTTGCGTGACTTACTATGCAGTGAAGAATGGCTACAACCTTTATTATGATAAAAACAATAGCCAAAGGTTTTTAGTAAGATGTTGTAAAGATAACCAGAACCCCTCTTGTCCTTTTAGACCATGGGCTTCCTGGATGAGTAGTGAAAGGTCTTTCCAGATTAAGTCCTTAATTGATGACCATAATTGTTTAAGTGTCTTCAAACTTGGTTCAGTTGTAACATATAAATGGATTGGAAAACATTTTAAGAATCAGTTTTTACAGAACCCCAAAATAAGCATAAGGAAAATGAAAGCCAAGGTAAGTACAAAGTTTAACTTGATTGTTAGTGTGACTCAATGTAGAAATGCTAGGAGATATGCTTTGGATGAGATAGAGGGTAGTTTGATAGAACATTATGGTAAAGTATGGAGTTATGGAGAAGAAATAATGAGGACAAATCTTGGTTCAAAAGTAAAGATAGATGTGGATGTTATGCCTGATTCCACCACTTACTTTTCTAAAATATATGTTTGTTTTAAGGATGTGAAAGATGGGTGGATTGTAGCATGTAGGAGGGTAATCGGAATAAATGGTTGTTTTTTAAAGGAGATGGTTGTTTTTTAAAGGGTATATGTAGAGGTCAATTGTTAGCAGCTATGGGTAGGGATACAAACCACCACATCTTCCCTATTGCATGGGCTGTGTAACACCCATAAAAATCAAACCAATTTAAGACTTTTTCAAACATCCAAAAGCCATTAGTTATTACAAAATGTTTACAAAATAGTTTAATATCAGAGTATCCCAGAAACCATAAGTCCAAAACATGAGGTTGTGTACGGTCACGCCTTCGCCTTGCTGAGTCACCTGAAGCACCTGAAACAATAAACTGAAACCATAAGCACAAAGCTTAGCGAGTTCCCCCAAAAAACCCATACACACAACAATACACATATAATCACAAATATAATACTATAGGTCCAATCAACCATCGGGTTGGAATACCCCAGGCCCTCAACCATTTGGTTGGAATGCCTACATACTATGGGTCCAATCATCCATCGAGATGGAATACCCCAGGTCTGTTGACTGACGCACAAAGCAGCCCAGTATCACTGTGTACAATGACAAATATGTCGGGTCCAATCAACCATCGGGTTGGAATACCCTAGGCCCAATCAACCTCTGGGTCCAGTCATCCCTCCGGATGGAATACCCCAGGTATCTATATATATATATATATATATATATATATATATATATATATATTATATATATTATATATATATAAAACGGGTCCAGTCATCCTCGGGATGAAATACCGTCGGCCCACAACCATCTGGTTGGAATGCCTACATACTACGAGTCCAATCATCCTCGGGATGGAATACTCACGGCCCACAACCATCGGGTTGGAATTCCCAGGTCTATTGGCTCTCGCACAAAGCAGATAAGCCTCAACCACTAATCAAACATGTGCACATATATCAGATAATCACATAACAGTCTATAGACAGAAAAACGGATCTAACAGATCATAACAACATCGCTCATCCTATCTACAAGGATACTGATCTAACGGATCATAGCAACATATAACATCCTATCTACCAGGATACTGATCTAACGGATGATAACAACATATAACATATCAAGATAGAAATCCAAAATGGTCGACCTTGGTGCCTTAGACCCTTGAGTATAGTGAGGATAACTCACCTGGCACTGTTGAAGTCCCGCAGATGAAACTCTAGCTATTGGTTGACATATTCCCGAACTGCCAACATCAAACAATACCTAATTAATAAGTGGGTTCCAAGCCTAAGGTCCAACTCACACTCCAAAGGCCCAATAGCCAAGTAATAGGCCAAAACCAACATATAGCCTAATTTTCCAAATTAGGCCTAACCCTTCACATGGGCCTTACCTTAAGGCCCAGCCACTTACTTTGGTCCAAATACTTGGCATTCTAATGGCCCAATCTCTCTTAATCATACAGGCCCAATTATGCCCATCTATGGTCCAATTTTCCATATTAGGCCCAAGACTCTCACATGGGCCTTAATCTAAAACCCATACAATTATTTAGTCCATTTACTTATTCTTGGAAAGCCCATTAATAGTCCAATCCCTAAATCCCAATAGAAAGGCCAAACTCAAGGCCCAAGTGAAATTAGGGTTTCCACATGAAATGATGATTAGGGTCAAGTGTTTCTTACTTAACACATTAAGGACTTAATCCATTAAGTCCAACATTGTCTTAGGTTAATTTGCCAATGATTATTAATTATTATTTTAGGTTTAATAATTAATTCTTGTGTGGTCCCGATCAATGCCAAAATTAGGATTTCAAGGTATTAGGGTTTTCCAAACCATAATTAGGATTTCCATCTCAAATGCTAGCCCATTAATCAAATGGTTGGGCTTTCAGGTCAATTGATCTTCATTGGGCCCATTAGGGTTTTATTGGGCCCACTAGGGTTTCATTGGACCATTTTCTCCAAGCATCCCCAAACGAGGTACACTGCCACCCAACACGGCGGTTGGTGACGGTAGGAGGCAGCAACCACTACCTTACGGGGGTGGTTTTTGAGTTTCTTTTCATTATTCTACTTTCTAATTAAATATTACAGTGCATTATACCAAAATAAACACACACACTAAATAGATAAATACACACAACCACCTTGTGGTGGCCGACGGTGGTGCATGGTGGCAGCCACCACCTCATGGTGGTGGTGGTGGCTTTTTCTTAGTTTTCCGGCTAAGCCACATGCACACATGCACATTAGAAACAGAATCACACATCCACACACCCTTGCTCGGAAATCTGGACACAACCACCCACTTGTGGTGCGTGGTGACAGCAGCAACAATCCTAGTGGCCACAACGGTGGCTAAAGGGGTAATAATAGTGTCATCGGAAGAAGACCCGTTGTTGAGGTAGCACTGGCGAATAATTGAGCCAAAAGATGGTGGAATCACGGAGAGGTGGCAGCGGCAGTGAAACAGCCACATGACGGTGACGACAACACCGAGACCCAACAGCCGCCGGTTCAACCGGTCCGTCCCACGACCACAATATCATTCTAACTCTCGCCTTCGCCGGTGAAGAAAGTAATGGTGGTGGTGTGTCGACATGAAGATAGAGGAGGGAGGGAAACGATCGGAACAGCAACAATGGCGGCCTCACACACTCCATTGTGCCTTCGTCTCCAACATAAGCGACGTGGTGGTGCTACAACGACAGGAAACGAACAACGCTGACTCTTGGCGCTCGAACTCGACTAAGCAGCGGACGGTGCTGGAGAGGCAAGGTTGACGGCGGTGGAGGTCCATTGTGAGGGTGGCGATTAACTTTACGCATGACAAGTGAACTTTTGAGTTAGGGTTAGGGTTTACCGGTGTGACGGGTCTCATACCCTGAGCCCCATGAAACTTCTCCCCGTAATAACAACAATGGCCCCTCTCTCTATTAATCTTTTCAAAATAAATATGAAATTTACGATTTAGCCCCTGCCTTCTGAAATCTCTTTCAAATCCAGTCCAATACTTTCCCAACAACCCCTCCTTTTACAAAACCTTTTCAACATAAGTCCAAAAGTTACTCTTTATCCCCTATTTCAATAAATTCTTTACAAATTAAGTCATGTTTCAATAAACCTTTTCAACATAGGTCCAAAAGTTACTCATGTCTCATCGACTCACCTACGCTCACCAGCGCTGAAATACCGTCGCCAACTCCTGCGACTAGCTGACCCCGAGCTGGAATACAACCTACTGTCGCCAAACTCATCCCCTTGCCGTCGTTACAGTTGCTATAGGTGTCGCGACAACCGTTTCGACAATGGATGCATAGCGCTCGTCGAAATACCCAACTATGGCGGTCTTAATAGACCCAAGCATCTCCGGAAACTGTACCTGGACAACCCCAATCACCTCCTCCTAGATGATCTCACTGACACGGTCCTCTGAAAATGTTGGCCTATCCTAGATGCCAGCTCCCGATCATAACCTGGATCCAGTCTTAAGAAGTCTCGTAACCACCATTCTGGTAAGACACCAGAAAGATCTCTGATAATCCTTATAGTGACTGGGGACCAACACCCAACCCAACCCGAGTGGTTGTTGAAGGGTTTTGAGCATTCTAACACTCCTAAGGTGTACACACAACACTAGAAACCTTGGATCTATGTATTACTAAGATACATGCAAATTTGATTTTCCAAGGTTCTTAACCTAACTCGCATGGCATTGGGAACTTTAAAACATAAATGCTAATAGAAGAACATACCTTTCTTGTTGCTTGGATTCCTTGAGAACCTTGTGAGCCTAGCACCTCAAGTGTGATGCCTCAAATGTCTCACACAACCCCAGAACACTTAGAATAACTTTGAGAGAAGTTCATTAACACTCAAAATCGGCTAGCCCTCTTGTTCTTCACTTAATGGCCGATTTTGATAGCCATAGAGCTTCTTATATAGTGTGCCACATGTAGGGTTACTCCATGTAAACCCTAATGTGCATGGATTTTCATATTCCATGATCCATGGGTTCATAACCTCCATGGACTATCCATGGAGCACCTTATGGGTTTTAGCCTAATTCAATAAACCATGGATCATTAGCCCACTATACAAGAATAGATGATTTACACAATCAACCCCATATATATAATTACTCTCCTTTTGATCACTTAATTAATTCTAAATTAATTCTTGATCAATACTAATTAAATAATATTATTAATATATTAAAACTTATAATATATTAATAAACATTAAGTGTCCTTTCTCTTATCTAGTCTATCCAAATGTTGCAATGCCATGCAACCCAAATGGACCATGCCAACCGGGTCAAGTACATACCCAATATAGTTATGGACTTACACATCTAATCCAACAGTTGTGACTTTCTTTCTATGCGTATGGGTCCTATGCTTTCAGTAGTACGGGCTGTAGAGAGAAAAACTTAGAGACACACTTG